GAAGGTGAGAATGATAGCTTGTGTCGTATGAAATTTTCAAACATTTCACCGGAAATCTTTCAAATGATTTTAAGGTAACTTTACAAATGTTGACTTTACAATTTTTTATTGTTTAAAAGAAAAAAACATTTTTTTTTTTCATTTCACTAGGTATATCTATGGCGGATTCATTTCATTAAATGGTCATGATAACATCTCGGAAATTATTAAATTATTACTCGTGGCAAATGAATTTCATTTGCAAGAATTAGTTGATTTCTTACAAAATTATTTGATTGAGGAAAAGTCGGAATGGATTTATCAAAATTTTGAATTGGTACACAGTACAAGTTTAAAATCGGTTTGCTTCACGGAATTACAACAATTTTGCATCAATTTTATGACAACTTATCCTGACAAAATATTCGAATCATTGGATTTTACCTCCCTTGATGAAAGGTCATTAATACCATTATTGAAAAGAAATGATTTACAAATGGAAGAGTTAAAGATTTGGTCATCCGTATTAAAATGGGGACTCGCGAGAAATCCCACGTTAATTCAAGATCCATCGAATTGGATGGATGAAGAATTTAAATTAATGGCAACCACTTTGAAGAATGTTTTGCCTCATGTTAGATTTTTTAGTTTATCTTCAAAAGAATTTTTAGAACGAGTTCGTCCTTACAAGAAATTACTAAATTCTGAACTTTATGAAGATTTAATAAAATACTTTTTAGATCCTGATAGCAACCTTCCTAATGGTTATTTGCCTCCTAGATATTATGTTGATACGAAAATAATTAATGTTGATATAGTTTCATTAATTTCAAAATGGATTGATAATGTAACAATACACGAAAGAAAATTTCCTGGTAGAGAAAAGTTATACTTGCCTTATGAATTCAACTTGATCTTACGAGGGAGTAGAGATGGATTTACTCCAAAAAGATTTCATGAGCTATGTGATGATAAAGAAAATACCGTCTCTTTTATAAAAATTAAAGGAACTGATGAAATTTATGGCGGGTTTAATCCTTTAAAATGGACATCTAATAATGAATGGCTCAACACCGAAGAGAGCTTTATATTTTCATTTAAAAGTAAAAAATTTGACATAAAAGATGCCATCTATAGTAAAATAAAGAAGGAGTATATAGATCATGCAATTCTAGGAGCTATTTATGATGGTCCAGCGTTTGGTGAAGACATCAGGATTTATGGTGATCCAAATAAAAATTTTGAAAATATTTTTTGTAAGAAATCTTATTATGAAAACGCGATAAGATATACTGAATCTAAATTTCTTATAGAAGACTATGAAGTATATCAGATTAAAAAAGTAAGACAATTGTAAGAGTTTTATTAGGTAATTGGAAATACGACAATATGAAGGAAGTTCTTTTTCGCATAAATAAAATAAAAATCAATTGCCTTTATTAATAAGTACCTTTCAGAAAGTTTTGAGATGACAAATAGTTGAAACTAAGAATGAACGTAAACCATAAACCATACAAAAAAAAAATACATGCCATTCGTAATTACTTCTCTAACACGTTTTGAATTTCATCAATTATAAATACAGTACATAATAAAGCGACCTATTTGTTAAATTGAGTGTTGGCATCATAGATACTTCTTCATCCCAATTCATTTTTCCAATTCATGTATGCATCCACATTTGTTTAACAAATTTTTTATAGCAAAGCAATTATATTATATGTTCATAAAGATAAGTTTGATTAAAATATAATAATTGTCCAAGCAAAGTGATTCCGAAAAAAAAATTGGATCGAATTTACTGAAGAAAATTTAAGGCACTTGAATTGCGTAAGCGTATAATTTAATATTTTAATATCAAAACACCTCTTACATAACTGTGATGTACAATTAAAAAATCTTGTATGAGATTTTTACAGCGCTCTCTGGACTTCGCTCAGGACGTGATAAAAATAAATTACCATTAGAGGAAACTTAACATTTACGCAATCCACACTTTTACGCTCCTATCTTCTATTCGAAGGATTATTTAGAGGAAAATATGGAAGCGTTTTCTTATTTTAGCATTGTTAAAGCAAGTGCAGCTAAACAATAGCAATAAGAAATTGAAAAGTAAATCTTAGAATCTATTTTTTTATTTGGAAATAATATTTAATAATATTATTTCAATCGTGTTCATTCTGAAACATACGTTATATATTTGATATTTGAACGAGGACAAGTAAAAAACAATTTTCGATAACCTGATTAGTTAGATATTACTTTACTACGAATTTAAGTAGGTAAGGAAATAAAAAATATTTCTTCATTATAAAGTTTAATATAAATTGCTCCTAAAAATTTTTCCCCTAGAAGATTTATGACCTTTAGCGTTGAATCATAACTATTGAACTATTACAGTGTCATCTGAAACCACGCTTTCATGTCATGATAGAAATGACTTTAATTTTCATGAATTCTTGAAATTTACAAGTACCTTCAAGATTTAATATTAAGTAAGGTTCGTATACTCTCATATATTGTTAAAATAATCGCTCATTTATTTGTAAAACGCAAGTTTGCAATTTTTTTTTTTTCCTTTTTTTTATCCAACAAATTTTTAATGTAAAGCAATAAAATACTAGGATTCTATTATTATCTAATAACATACACAAGTATAATCAATCTTTTGACTAATTTTTGTCATCTAACCATTCATTAGGGAAAAATGTCCAAATAGTTCCCACAATTGCAATTATTGAGCTCATCACCAAAAGAATCAAATCCCATGCAAGTTCTTTATTTGATAATTGACGACCAAACAGTTTTAAATGACATAATATCGGGAAGATTCCACATATCAGGAAAGAGAATAATGATCCAAGTAGTGACTAAAAAATTGAGATTTGTTTTTTTTTAAAAAAAACAAAGTTACGATATTTTTTCTTTTTTTATTTGAAACTATCAAAAGAGGAGAGAAATTTTTTTTTTTGTTCTTGATAAAAGAAAGCACCAAACTTACCATTGCACGATCAAATTCTGGTAGAAATATTGCAGTAAATATGACCAAGGAACACAATATAGTCCTGGATATTATAGTGAAAAAATTTTTTGCAACCTTTGACGCGAAAAATTGATAAACAAACGGTATTCTGAGGAATCCAACTTCAAAGATTATATTTATCGGGGTTATAACGAGAGGAAATTTAGTTAATGGATTGATAACTATCATCCAAACCACGATAGAATTAAGAAGGACGCTAAATCCCTTGGTCTTCATGATATTTAACGTTATCTATAAAAGTTTAATTTGTAAGGAAACATTTTTCACATCGATAAAATTAAACACCCCGAGGAGATTCTAACTTACCTCTTGTAAGGTATCCGGTCCAAACATTAGGTAACCACTTGCTGCGACAGTAATGTAAACAATACTTGAGATTAAATAACTGTAATTGACCATACGATTATACAATGCGGGTTTTGCCATATCACGATAAAGTGAGGGGTAAACGGCATGACCTGCGAACCCAGCGTTTATAAGACCAAATGCCAATGGCAGAGTCATCCAATTCGATGGAAAAAAGGATGTGTCCATTGGATTAAGAATACTTCCTGGAGGTTCGAGTTTGGAAAACCCATCTATTAATATAACAGCCGCCACCGACAACGTTGAAATTATTCCAAATATCGATGCATATGACAGGAAATGCATGGGCATCCACGTGAAAGGAGTTATTATGAAAAATGATATCAATTTCAACTGCACCAGATCGACACGTGGAAAGAGGGTATGGAGTGAATCACCAACGAGAATCATTATAACAACTCTATTTTATTTATTAAAATATTATCAAATTTTGTAAGAATTATACCATCAAAAAGTTTGGGCCATGATAATACTTACGCCGCGTTAAACAAATCCATCGTGAACAAACCTCCTATGATTAACTTTCCTTTTTGACCGAAAGCTAAAGATGCAAGATCGGCATAGGTAAGACAATCAGGATCGATATCGAGACATTTTTTAAGAAGCTTTGCCGTATAATTCGTTAGTATTAAGCAGAACAAGAATATTAATATTCCAAAAAACCATCCCGCATACTTGAACGCAAGTGGAAAAGACAGGATCGCAAGTCCCATCAATATGTTCTAATTAGGACGATGAAAAATTTTCGTGAAACCTCTTTCCTTTTATTTGTTAACGAAAAAAAAAAACACATAAAAAGTTTTGTCATACCACAGCATTGAAAACAGTTTGATTAAAAGTGGATTTTCCAAGATACGTCAACCTCTTGTAATCCTGAGCATCTTCTAATTCCTCAATAATAACAGGTTGAGAAATCAAGGGAGTCCTTTCATTAATGAAAATATCAGATCTTTCGTTGCAAGGATCCAAAGCATTATGATCGTTTTCTCCTTCATGATCAAATTCGCTTTGTAATAAGCCATTAAGTTCTTGATTAATATTATATTGTTGACTTCGAGAATATGAAGATGCCCATGATTTCACAGAGCTTGACAGCGGCTGCTTAATATTTTTATTTCTTACAATTGTTATAGGATCAGATCCTTGGAAACTCATTTTGTAAAAAGAAAATAAAAAGAAAAAAAAAGAAAAAAAAAAAAACGGGAAATCGTGGCTTTTATTTATATTGGAATATTCTAGTAATGTTAAATAAGTAATTTTACGCCATAATGGTGCAGATATATTCCCAATTAGGAAAATTTTGCCAAACGTCAAAAAAACAAGCACTTCAAATTTCATTGTATTAACCCAAAACTATTCAACGCAGTTTTTATTTTTGTAGATTATAAAGAGACTATCGATATTACTAATTCAAATAAGATTCTAATTGTATTTTGCCGATTTAATACTTATCAATCATTAGGTAACACAATTAAGGGGCAAAATAACAAATAAAGCAAAATAAGGGTTTTATCAAAGCTCATAAGAATTGCAATGAACACCGACATTTCTTTAGAGGAATTCATTCAAAAAATCGATAATACTAAAATTGCTGAAAAAAATTTACAGGAGGATGAATCCCGATTATCAAGAAGTTCAAAGAGAGATCAAAAAGAATGGAATATGTAAGCATTGTAACAAAATAAATGTAGAAAGAGGTTGGTGTACACCTTGCGATAGAAAAGAGTTAATTAAATTCGAATGGACAAGTGGAAATCCAAATATTGATAATTTTATCAGAGAAACACAAGCCAATGCGGATAATTTTGAAGGATTTCTTGAACTAATAGATTTTGATGGGTTTCAAGATATAAAAGAAATTGGTGTAGGGGGCTTTGGTAAAGTTTATTCGGCAACTTGGGTGGATGGATGCAATACGATTATGGAACAAGATGGAATCTTTTATAAGACGCGCAGCGACCCTTTCACCGTTGCTCTTAAAAATGTTAAAGGCTCAAAATACGTCTCGGACGGATATTTAAATGAGGTAAATATTTTATTTTTTTTATTTTTATTTTTTTTTGATATTTACTAAAAAAAAAGAATTATTTATTTTGATCATTGATAGATGAGAACTTATTATACTTTAAGCAAAGCATCAGAAGGCAAGCTTTTAAAATTTTATGGAATAACAGAATATCCAACAACAAAAGAATTTTTGATGGTAACAGATTTTGCTGATACTAGGGATTTACGAAGAGTACTTTCAAATAATTTTGATAAAATGTTGTGGAAAGATAAACTTCACATATTATTTTGTATCATTCAAAATCTTGAGATTTACATAAAAAAGGTTATTGTCATAAAGATTTCCATAGTGGGAATATTTTGCGGAAGGGTAAGGATTATTATTTGTCTGATTTTGGATTAACAGGACCGGCAAATAAATCCGATGATAAAGTTTATGGAGTTTTATCATACGTGGCTCCTGAAGTTTTACGTGGTAAACCATATTCTAAAGCTTCAGATATTTACAGTTTTGGGGTTATAATGGCTGAAATATCATCTGGACAACTTCCCTATAAAGATCAACTTGATAATGAACGACAACTCGCGATATCCATATGTAATGGGTTACGTCCCGGATTTGGAAAAGATACACCTGATTTTTATGAGGAATTGGCTCTTCAATGTATGAATGCTAATCCGGAATTGAGACCAACCGCTGAGGAGGTTACTAGTGAAATATTTGATTTGTGGTTTATTGCAAAAGACCTATGGTAAATGATGATTTATATGACGAAAAGAAACTTCAAGAATCTCAACAAAAAGTTTCGATGGTTAGAAGCAAATTTGAAGAAGCTGATGAACACATACCAAATATTAAGCCAACATTAATGAATTACAATTTTGACATTCATAAAAGCAAACAATTAGATTGAAGCTTACGGCAGTACTTTTTTTTAACTTAATTTGTTATTTCATTCGAAATTTTACAAATTTATTGATTTTTATTTTAATTTTTTTAGTTATAGACTCTTGCCAAGTTAATATGCATTTAAGCACTTCATTAATGGGCGGTATGCACTTTTTAAATTTTTATGTATTTGACGTGACTTATGACACCCGCCAATTTATTTTAATTCATACATTTCACGTTAATAGGTTTAAATATTGATGGTGATGATAACGAATAGAAAATTATACCTGAATATATAAGATTCAAGCGCGCTATATTATTAAAATTCTTTGTCTTATCTCATTATTGGGAATTTTAGACGCGGTAACTGTGCTAATGTTATGTTTCTATTTCTATTACTTTACTATTTATCATACATAATCTTCTCCATAGTGAGATTTAGAAATTTATTTAAATAGACCCAGAAGATTCTAATTTAAAATCAAATACACTTGAGCATAAGTGTCTTCACATAGGTTCGATTGTGATATCAACCGAATTGTTCGGATTGTTTCCAACACCGTTAAAATCACTAGTCCATCATAACACTTTATTTTAAAGAAATGTAATTAATAATATAAATTATATGCTTTAAACGTGAGACAAATCGTCAAAGCTGAAACTCAAGGAAAGAACCAAAATGTTTATTATGTATTGTCAAATTAACACTATTATTGAATATTAGGAGGGATCTAATAAGTACTTTTATGGATTAGTAAATCATTTGCGTGCGGTGACATTTTGCAAGGTCTCTCTAAACCCCACCGAACCCTGATTCGGGATAACCGGTTGGCTCATGTTATGATTAGTAAATGAAGATGTCCTAAAGATCTGTTCAATAGGTCAATTTTAATATTTCTGCTCCCCTGTGATTCTCTATAAATTTTGACACTATCTTGAACAAAATCTAAATCATGATTACTTGAACTAAAAAATTCGTGATCTTTTGCAACCTCACATTGCATTTAAAAAAATTTATTCCATTCTAAACTTTTATCTGGAGTGTAATTTTTTTTTTTATCCACAGTTTTCTGATTGATCACCATCATCAATCAAAATAATTTGCATATATAACTAATGGTTTCAAACTTTTGTATCAGGATTCCTGAAATACCTTCTTTTAAAATTATATCTTCTTTTCTGTATTAGATTGAAAAATCTACTAATTTAATATTTAATAATTATAATATTACTTACAAAAAACAATAAATTTCAATTCTAAATATCTTACTTAAAGCCCAAACTTGGTGTAAATTAATATATCTTTTCTTGAATAATAAATAGAGTATAAAACGTTGAATTCACTGCGTAAATCATCACCGGCTGAGTACTTACTATTATTAAGGAATAAATGACAAAGTTGTTGATTCCATATATATTCCCCATTTATTTACGTTGAAAAGAAAAATTTTGTTCTATTATCATAAAAGACGCATTTATTACGTGGAATGTTCAATATATCTTCGCACCTACCCTATGAGATTCCGGACATCCAGAATTCGTGCCGAAGTATGAGAGATTTTAGACATTATTGCAACACATCCTGAATTCCTTCTCCTTAGGGCTAAACGGAGTCATATATTTAAATTATTGTAAGACATTTTTAAACGTCATACTCCTCTGCCAATTTTTCCCACAGTAAAAATTTCAATAATTATAAATTACAGTTTATAAAAATTTTGATGAATTTGCGCCAGGTTTGGCGGGACAGAAGTGACGCTGCGTTAATATAAGACGTGATGCAAGAGAGATTTTCGAAAAAAAACGGAAATAATTATCATTCTTCGAATTCAATATTAACAAAATAGTGTATATCCAGTATAAATTTATCTGAACATAATTGCTTTACTTATATTTATGTTCTGTAGTAATAAGTATCAAATTTGAACTTTTTTTTTGTATGACCTTTCTTGCAAATATTCAATGGGTCATTGTTAAGAACAAAAATATTTCATTTTGAGAGTATTCTGATTGCATTAGATTGTTGGAATTTTTGAAAGAATGGTAAAGAATGGTTTTATAATACAATTTTAACTAGCATATTTTATTAAACATTGGATTTTATGTTTAAATATGAAGCAAACTTGATTTCATAAGGGATAAGATCTTTTGAGACCAATTTCATAAATGAAGGTTCCTTTTCACTACACCTATCCTTTATTTGCAACTTGCGTATCTTCGGTATTTTCAAATTTCTGAAGAAATTCCCAACATTCCCTCCTACACTTACTATAGCAATCCACCCGCCCGTAAGTTGATTATACTAGGCATGAATAATACATAAATGAATTGATTATTAAAGGAACTGATGACAGGAAGAATATCGAAAAGATTTTTTAGATACAATACTTAATAATGGGAAAATTTCTCTCAGTATCTATCAATCACGAAAAGGTTCAATATATTTTCGTTTTTTGGTATCATATATTTACGCAAGAGTTTATTAAAAGTAAGTAAAATCAAACAAGATATTTCTTAATATGAGTTCGTTCATTATTGTGAATATAACCGAGATCTTATCAAAGCATGTTGGAATTCAAGTATGATTTGAATTAAGGCATTATTTAAAACAATAAATTTTCCAGAGACGAGGAGAAATAATTGTAATCTTCTTCTTGGTCCACTCCTTTGTCATCTTTTTCGTTTGCTTGTTCGCCTCGTGGTTCATTCTCTGAGCGCCATATATAATTATCAAATATTTCTTGCGGATTATGATATTCTTCTACATAATAAATTATTAACTGAAATTTATATTTTGCAAATACATAATGTGCATCAAATCATGGTTCATTGTGAATATCTGCTTTGTAATGGCAGGTTTCCTTCAATACAGAAAATTTCATAATAATGATAAAATTCCAACCTCTTTTATCTTCTATAGGATCTTCCCATTGATCTTCTAAGCCTTGAAACCAAGAAGGTACCCCACTTGATTTTTTGTAATACATAAAACATAATCTGGTAAATAAAAAAGTAAATATATCAGAACGTAAAATATGCATATTTTCAAGGTCATTTGTATTTTTTTGGACCCACCTGATAATCTGTAGTATTAATAAAATAGGAGAAAACAAGCAGATTATAAAAATAGCAAACGTAATTGTGAAGAACGACAATACAGAAATTATAAAATTAATAAGGCAGCGTCTCATTTTTGTGAGTTATTTGAAAAAAAAACGACGTTATGGGCTTTTTTTTTTAAGTTAGATTTGCTTATTATTTTTTTTTTTAAAAAAAAAAAAATTAAACTCAATCATGTGCGATGACGATGATTATCTGTATAATAATGTTTCGTCACAAGACCATAAGTAATAGCTGAGAGATATCCTGTCTAAAACTACAGTTATCTTGTATTCTTGAACATATTGCTTCTTTGAAAGGTACTGGAGATTTTTCGTTTCACAGACGAAATTAAGTTTTAACGCACTTGAAAAGGTAACGCTCAACCAAAATTCTTACCCGAACTTGCTTACGAATAATGGGTTATGTCTGCATTAATCATTTTCAGCTAGGGGTATAACAGAAGAAAAAATATTCAAATAAATGCTGAGGAATCGATTGAATTAGATAACATATTAATGGATACTGTACGGTCTTGTATTTATATTGGTTAATGTCACTTCGTGACGTTAACCAATGTAAATACCACCGTACAATATCAATAAATTATAGTTCAGCCAGATAGGATCATACCAATTTTATTGCATCAATATTTATTATAATTATTCTATATAAAATATGATTATACGATAACAAGCCAATTAATTTTTAAATATACTATTTCTATCTAACTTTATATAATTATTACACATTTTATGATAATTTTATATGCAAATTAGTATTTGCCAATACTCCAGATTCTAATAATTCCTGTAATTGTGCGGGCTTCATTTCAATTTCAACTTGATTATTAGATTTTAAAGGAATTTGAGAAGTATTAGCTTCTATAGACATAATATTTAATGGTTAGATTGCTTAAATACTGAAAGAAAATAAAGTTAACTAAGAAAATGTTTTATATAATTATTTGTTGAGTAACAAAATAATACCTACTTTACAGTTAAAAATGTTCCATTTACTTGTACTTTATTTATATCCATTGAGTTTATTAAAAAAATATTATCAGATGCTTTATTTGCAATAATTTTAATATTAAATAATTGGTTAATGTTAAAAATAGAAAAATTTGAAGAACTTACATGTTTTTTTATGAATTTCACTTGTTAATAAAGTCATCATATCTAGTTGCTACTGATCATAAAAAAGAACATAAGGTTGAAATCCTTAGTCAGATTTATAATGAGATTAATATTTAATGCAATCTTTATTTTGGCCAAGATGCTATAATGCTTAAACCATAATTTTTCTGCCTACATGATTTATAATCTTCACATTATCAAGAATCATCTAATTAAGCTTGAATGTTCACTACTATGTAATTCAAGAAGAATTGCATTATAAAAAAAAACTGATATAATAGTCTTTTTGAAATACTACTATTTATCTTTTGGTGATTAAGAATTTGAATAATTTCATTAACAATTAAAGCATCAGATCCTTTAGATTTATTTAAACTAAGATCAAAAAAATACTTGATTTTTTCATTAAAACTTTCTATAAATTTGAAAAAAAAGATTTTTGTTAAATATCTACACCTTTAATAGCAGAATTATCAATTAAATATTGCCTAATTGCTGTATTAGCAACCTGAACAGAATTTGCTAAGTATTCTTGACTATTTATTATTTTATTATAGTAATATATTCTAATAATTATTAATCTAACTCAGTTTCAGTTGCAATTTTATCAATTTTTCTAATAAAATCCTTTTTCTTGCAAAATTTTTCTAATGATATTACTCAATTTTAATAGAGACTTTAATGTTCTTTACTTCATCAAATTTTTTAAAGAATTCTACATATTCTTGAGAAATTGTAGTTTCAGATAGCTAAATAAAAAATATAAAAATATATTATATATATT